TCGCCTACGCACATCATCGTTGCGGACACGCTGGTGCCATCCGACATCAGCAATGCTTCGCAGACCACGATGATCAAAGACTTGAAGGCGCCTCAGATCTTCAGACCGAAGGGGCCAAGTCTCACTACTATAGAGGCGAACGACCCTCACTGTGGCCTTGTATACCCGGTCTTTCAGATGAAGAGAAACTCCCTTCTGTCGCCAAAGATGCCACAGGTTCAAGCAGGCAGCAGCCTTTGCAATGTGTGAGCTGACCTCAACTTTAATGCCCTCATCGTTGCTGATGCAGTTGCCAAAGTAAATGAATTGATCAACCACCTCCAGTTCCTCGTTAGTAAGGGTCAAGAAGTCATAAAGTGGCTGGTGGTCCTGCAGCAACACTTTGTACTTTGAAGGTGCGAAGTGCATACCAAATAATGGGACCACTCTAGACAGGCTATTCAGGGTTGATTGTGCCGCCACAACATCGTCAAAAAGCAAGTCGATATCTTCCACATAATCAATATCAACTAATCTTTCACCGAACAGCACTTCAACATCTACATCGTGAGATTCCGCAAGGAAACACTCCATGATAGAATCTACGACGAAACTGAACAAAAATGGGGAAATCGGACAACCTTGACAAACGCCACTTGTTTTCGGAAAGTTATATAACAAGCCACCATAGACCCTGACGCGGCCTGTAGTGTTCGAGTATGGAGCACGAAGGATTTTCACATATTTCGTGGGAACACCTTTCCGTGCAAGTATTTCTAACAGAATCGTTCGAACGACTGAATCGAACGCACTCTTGAAATGGAGGAACACAGCTATTGTCGGTCTGCGGTATGCGTGGCTCAAAGTGAATATATGGTCTATACAGCCACGTCCTTGGCGGAAACCTGCCTGCTCTTCCCTACTTCGAGCTTCCCGTTCCACAGTGAGGCGACGAACGAGAGTCGAGGTTAGTAATTTCGTCACAACTGGCGTCAGGCTAATACTCCTGTGGTTAGAACAGTCTGTGCGATTGCGCTTGTTGTATATTGCCACTATAATCGATTCGCTCCAATTAGCCGGGACACTTTCCTCCTTCCAGCTACATTCGAATAGGGAGGTCAGTGCTTTTCAGAGGTCTTCATTTCCATCCTTAAATTATGCAGGTGGGAGGGAATCCGGTTAAGCGGCACGAAAAGGATTGAGGACTGTGATCACGTTTCAAACCTCGGCCTCCGACGTAGGCTCTAAACTACCGTCCATGGATCGTCGTGCATGACCTGCGTAGGAAGAGGTCCGGGAGCAGGGGGTCAGCTGAACTGAGCTTGAAAGTGTTCCACCCAACGAGCCATACGGCGCTCCTTATTGTGTATCAGTGCACCCGCGCTGTCTCTGATCGTCTCACTGACGCCTGGTTTTCTGAGACCACTGATGCGGATCAGCTGGAAGAGCTTGCGGTAATCGCCTACTGCTCCTGCCTTCTCCATTTCTTGAGCCCTACTGTTCCACCAGGCTTCCTTGTCAGCATGCAAGCTCCGCTTGAATTCGAGCCTAGTAGCCCGTCTGATCACATTGTGCTCATAGTCAGCCAGGAGGTTTCTTCTAGATTCCAACAGGTTCACCTACCTCACGGATATCCAGTGATTGGTGCGGTGCCGATTGATAGTGCCACAAGCAGATGCTCCTGCGTCCTGCATGGCGGTCGGGATCCTATTCCACTGAAGCTCAGCGTCATTAGAACAAGACAGCGAAAGTTCGGTATGCAGTGCTTCTTGAGAGTTAGGCATAATATGACTTTCTTTTACGGCAGCCAGATGTCAGCTCTCCGGAACGATGTCCATCTATTACTGGGGACTCAACGGGCGTGCCACCGTTTGTTTTCCTTTTCTTGTCTTTTGTATTGCGGCACAATCGATGAGGTGCTTTCCACCTCAGCTAACGTGTAATTATGGTGATGATGATGCTTCTTGATAGGCTTGCCTGGTCGAGGGCTGAGGCAATTTCTTAGTTGCCGATCGGAGAAGATGCTTGGTGCGCCTCCCGGTAAAGTTCATGGAAAAGCGACAGTGTACCAAGGCATGACCAGAGTCGACGCACATATTTCATTACGAGCGGCAATCCAGGATGAAACCCACTACACCTGTAACTTATGAATATGTGGTCAAGTTGGGTTCATCGCTTGTCAGCTACAGGAGGACGCCAACTGGCACTTCGGCGCCCACTGTGTCTAAAAGCAGTGTTATTAAGAAACAACTGGTGCTCCGCACACAGTTGTAGCAGACGCTCACTGTTGTCAGACCGTTCGGATTGAAGCCCATACTTTCCAACCAGCTGAGCATCTGAAGAGCTCAGACGCCCTACTTGTACATTCATATCCCCTGCAAGTACTATGATATCTGAACTAGCAGCACTGCGTAGTGGCGTGCTCAGTTTGTGATAGAATATCTCCTTGACAGCATTTGAACTGCAGTCGGTGGGAGCATAAACGGAAATCACAAACAAACAGCGTTTTGTACTACTTCGCAAATCAACCTTAGCTGATGGCGTCAAACGGGCTGCACATAAACGGCTGTTCACCGGAATCCAATCAACCAACGATGGCCCAGCCTTAGAGCCTCGATTGATAGCCACACCAGCTTGACCCGTGAGTGCTGCATCGGCGTCTCCTGATGCGTGCAGCCAATAACGAGAGAATAAGCCGGGTGCAATTAATTCAACAACTCCATTAGGGTCATTGATACAAGTTTCGGACACACAACACACATCAATACCCAGTGTGTCCAAGGTGCGTGCGAGTGCAGCCTGTTGACCTATTTGTCTTAGAGTGCGAACATTGAATGTCGCCATGGAGACGGGACACTGTGTTTTTATAGTGGACTGTTGCTGATAGGCGCCCGATAGGTGTCGCAAGAAAGTGGTTGCAGATGGTTCTACTCCAGTGGCACTTCGGGTGCTGTCAATTAAGCTGGGAATTAAAGAAGGAAGATTAGTTATGGGGGTTCGGATGGGAGTAAGTGAAACAAGTGGAAAAGAAAGAAGGGAAGCGCCAGCAGTAGCATGTTTTCGCTTATCCGCCCTGGTGTATGCAGTAGATAAGGCGACCCTTGATAATCTGCGCGACTGACGATGCAGGATGAAGTTTATGTTTGAAGAAGATGTCATGGTTGTATGTGGGCTGAGATACTGCCAGAGCGCCCAGACCTAGACAGGAGGACGATTAGGGTCCTCATCCAAAGCCTTTGGCTCAAAAGCCTGTCCGCAAGCCAGCGGGGAGGTGGCAGTGATTTAGTTTTACAGAAATGGACACCATCCCATTTCAAACCCCAACCTAGAGGATCACGAGACTGTTTGTCTGACCTCTCATCATTGACCAACCTGGTAGGAGTAGCTCTCAAGGTACCCGGAGGCACCACCCAGTATAGCTCAATGGGCCAAAGAGGTACGCAAACCGTCGCACTACATTAAGGTCCAGTCTCGTTGCAACGGTAGTGGGTAATAGACAGATGGGCACCTTGTCAACATGCACATCAAGCGCAGCTACACCTGGGATGTCAAACAACAGCCACTCACTTGTAATGATATTATCAGCTAATAATATATATGTTAAAGAATACAGCTATGTAGACATAACTTTTCGCTTAATTAGCATATGAAGTAAGTTGGTGATCAACGAATCCGCGATAAGTTACTCAACAGATGCTACAAACGCAATAAAGTTAACGAAGGTAACCACAATTAGCATAAGCAATGTGGCCAGTCAATAGAATATTATTCAGGTAGACAGAACAAACCAAATAAAGTGGTATGAAATTTATCCAGCTTAAAAAGACTAAGGGTTAGTGTGTTTGGTTTAGCCCAACTTCGACGATGAATGCAACATTAGCCTCAGCATGGGGCACAGGATCATTTCATACTGTGCTCCATACTCCTTTATGACAACGCTTCAGTTCAGTCAGTAAACATGCCACCGCAGACACAGCTAAACTGGTAGATGTATAAGGCGGCAACATGCTGGTGTGGTTTGTCCAAGTCGGATTCATGCGGAAACGTTCTCGTCCAACGCGAACTCACCGTGAAGCATCCAAGTTATTAGGCAAAATAATCCTAGCCTACTCCGGTTTACTGAAACTTCAGCGACTGTAGCACAACCCGAACAAATAACCTGGCTTCAGCCCGTAGTCAGAAGGACAAGGCGTCTGCCTTGTAACCCACAGGTCGCGGACTCGGGCCTACGTAGGGGACCGGGTGACCCTCGTAGTGTCCTTAACCTATGCACCACTGGTGGTGCGTGGCAGCGTAACGTCGGTACGGCGTACTGCTGAGGCGTTTGTTTTAGTAGGACGTAGATTGTCTGTGAGAGCGATGCTATTGGCTGCTTTAATTTTCCGTTTTACAAAACCATTACTATCCCTGTTCATTTAATCCTACTACTGGTTGTAGTCGGTGGACTGAATGAGAGTGTGCGAAATGACCTCAATTCGACTTAAGCTATCGAACTGTTGTTTGTTCTTGGCATTCTTGTAGGTGAATGGTTTTAAGAAGGCTTTAAGCAGACACCTACACAGGATGCTTTTCTTTCACTAGGTCTCTGTGACGTTCGCGCGACAGGCACTTTTGCCATTTGTATTATGTTCCCAACCATGCATTTGACCCCGATTGTCGTCACCTTAGTGCATGCTTCGTGCAGGCACTTTCTTCATTTCTCTAACTGGTGATGTGAATGACCTAATTATCTTGGATCATTACTAACTCCGCCTCCATATCATCGCTCTCCTTTGTGCATTTCCGTTTGATGTGATTACATTTTCATCTCAAAATCGTCTAAATTCCTTGTCAGAATTATTACTGACGATCATTGTCCGACTGCTGCTACGGTGTTCTGTGGTATTAAAGCTGATGTGCACACCTAATCATGATTTTGAGAAACCACACGGTAGATAAGTTTAGGCGTCCGATTGACTGTCAGCTAGGCAAAGTTTTATTGCAACTTCACTTTTGTTCGTCCTGCTTTCGTATCTTCCCAGACAATACGGCACCCCCAGTCACCGCATCCCAATCCGCCTTTTCTTCATCTGGCTCGGGCGCTCCATCCGATGCCGGCGCGGCGACAAACACAGGGTAAGTGTACCCTCACTCATGCCTGGTCTGATTGTTCATAAGGCTGTGCAATCTTCATCACCATGCTCACATTCACACCATAGATTAGTCTGCCGAAGCACTGTTCCCTGTACACCTTACGTCGCTTCCATCGGGCACTTGTGCACCTTCCGCATCTGTCAGTTTTCCTTGGCAAAAGCTCTCTTGACCTAGTAATACGGATACCACCATGTTACTCACTCGATCTATGAGATTGCATGATTTTTTTCCTCGATTTTAATAACAGTGACACTTGTTACCTTTAAACTGCCCCAGATCTCAGTTTCCATTTTGGTGATGCACACGGTCCGTTTTGCTCGAATGTATACTGGGCACAATCTGTTGGTTGAGTGCGCTTCCTTTTAACTTCTTTCTGGTACAAAACGTTATCTACCAATGCTTTGCCACTTGGTACCTCAAGCGGTTGGTCATCATCCATTTTTTCTCTCTGATAATTTCTGTGCTTTGCATTCCCCACGCATGTCTTGTGTTCGTTTCTTACACCTATTCTTACCGCTTCTGGTACGTCATGCAGTGTTCGTTTGGCCCCCAAACTGAGCTCTCACCGTCTCCGCAACTTATTTCATCCTTGAAATCCCATGCTAATCTTTGAGTTATCTTCCTTGACGAAGCAGTTGTTCACCTCCTGCGATTCTTCTGTTACACTTGGGAGTGTTAAGGTCTTGGCTCAACGCTTCTGCAGTTCTGGGCACTTTTGAGTTATGAAACACGCACCAAAGTGTGCGACACTGCGTGAAAACCTGTTCTGCAGTCCTTTTCTAAGGTCTGACATCGGTCCAAAAGCGTTACATCGTTTGCGTTCATCATTCCGCCGGCTTGTAGAAGTCTCAGGTTACAGGAGCTACCAGAATATCGTCGTTTGCGATCGTTTAATCACTTCTTTGAGAAGGACAACATTAGCTAAGCATTCTTCTCATACGCTACTGTTCTAGTAGACCAGGGTAGTTTGCCGGTCTGTAATCGACGGACCTATCCAATATTCATTGAAGGCATTAAACGGTTGACCGTCTGCTCTTCGATGCCCGCTTAATATGCTAATATCATGTGGGAGAATCGAGTGTTTTTTTGCAGGCATCTACCATTTGGCACTGATCTGATTCAACTGTTGAACTTCGTGGGCCACACTTACTTGGTCACCCGTTCGCCTTCCTCCTCTTATTGTCGATGCTACATGCGGCTTAGAGCTTCATGGCTCCAATGATCCGTAGTTATATTGATTAGCGAAAACTCACGTGATCGAAGCTCCACTCAGACCGATTCTCTCAGTGCTGTACATGCTCCAACCTAGACTAGCTCGACGTCATGGGGCTCCTCCGTTTGAGCATTGGATCAAATGTTGCACTTTACTTTCAGTCTACCATTACCGTCGCTAAAGCTATCCTATGTAATAAGGTTGTGCTTTCTCTGTATATGAAGTTTTTATTCCCCAACTCCCTGCCACATTATAGTGCTGTTTGCGCTTGCGAATTAGCTGAACACTTCGGACGTTTGTACCCAATCCTAGTCGATTCATCATCATGTATGGAAGTCGTCAGCTTCCAATTTCGGAACACACCTTAGTTAAATCGCAGGAGTGGCTATTGGCAGCCCACTGGGTCCTGTTGACACTATCGATTGAAAGAAGCCCATCTTCAACAATAACCCACTTCGCTTGCTCCAAGCGCCATGCTAATGAAGTTCATCGCATGAACAGATTGTCAATCAACTGATAATTAGCGGGGCATATACCAACTACTTACGAGCCACTTATTAAGCGTAACAGGAAATTTGACTGTCATCTGTAACCTCCTTGGTAATAATCGAGAAGAGAGAACGGATTCATTTGGAGGCAACACATGATCCAGCCAGCATTTGTATTTCATCGGCTTCACTCCAGTGTGGGCAAGCAGACACTTGTGATGGTTTTAAATGGTCGTGCTGAGCGGATTTGTTTAGGTGATTGTTTGGCCGGAGGACCCAACCCACCTCGATCTGTGGATGTCGGAGGATTAAACCAAGGCACAGCCATTTGTGAGGGCCGAGGGCAGCCAAGGCACGAGCCCGTGCTGAGTTGCCTTTCGATGGTGATTCCTCCATGGTGAGATCATGGTCATCTTCATACTTAGGTTAATTGAATATGTAATTCCTCGCAGTATCATTTGTGGCAGCATGAGGAAATCTGACAGAGTATCTCTGGTAAGTCTACAGAGGTCATTTACCAAATGTCTGCTAGGCATAACTTCCAGTAAGAAATATCGTAAGCGCTGCCAGCAATTCCAGCTTTGGGTACGAAGATTGAAGCATAGTTTGACGCTTCTGTACAACATAATTCATCAAAGCGTCCATTGCTATTTGCTTTTCTTATAACTACAGCATAGTTCGACAAGGGGGGTACGCAATAAGGAGTTTGACCTGAGTGTACCCAGGTGGAGAACAAATCTGCGTTCCAACGTTTTCATTATCAGTTATGTTGTCCTGTGGAATAAGCTCCCAGTCACAACCAAAACGTGTGCGTGCGCAACGGTCTTTCGCGTTAAAGTCGCCAATTACCTAGACGAACACCATTATGACCCTGTTCTCATGAGTGGATCACTTCATGACTTGTTCCAAGGAAAGCCTGACAACATCTGGTGGGTGAAACAAGAAAATTTCACGCAGTATGGTGCGCTCTTAGTGCTGTTACTATCGCGTAATCTGACAAGTGCACATTGCGTTGAAACACACCCGTGAATAAATGCACACCCTCGAAACAGTAACGACGATAAAAATCACATAACTATTTATCACTCATGCATGGACATGACATATTCTGGAAAATATGATCTGTGCCCAAAATGGTCACAGTTTGTCACTCGATGAGAAATAAACTTATTATCATTATTCTTATTACTGGGCTTCAACGTTACTGAACTCAGCTAAGTTTATGCTTTCTGTTGCACACGTAGGTTATCATGTCGAGATTGAGATTTGTCGATACCTCCAATGAAACATGCTCAGCATGCTGAAGCCAAATCACACACATCGTATGACAATTGGAGTCTGACTACTCCGTCGGTCACGTATGTATTGTCGGTATGACACTAGCTCCCAGCTTGGAGGATCATGTACCACATCGCCAACGTGCCTGACATCGCTACCTCCCTCGTCTTCCATGCTCACGGGGCGTCTACATCCTTGATGGGCAAACATCTACTGATTACACGCCACCGAATACAGCTCCGTTGGTTGTTCAAAACTCTTATGTGTTCGTAATCCCCGTCTCCTTCGCTCGCTGCGGTGTTTACAGTTGTCAACTTTAGGAGCTGAACTTCCATCGTCCACATATTCATCAAAGCATACAAATGTCGAATCAATGCGAAATGTGTGCATCTACAAGATTTTTGTCTTCTCGCTCCATCCAATTGCTTGTTCTGTCCGATTCGTTGTTGCTACTGATTTTACTCTCTGGTCGGGACGCTTCTCATCACGCTTACCACCTATGTCTACAGTAGCTCAATCACCCTATGTGTATACTCACATCGTGATGGACTAGCCGTACTGCGTTATAAGCGCACATTGGTCGTTTATACCAATTTTTACTCTATATCGAGAACATTTTCCGCACTTTGTTCACTTTAAACCACACCGGTCTGTCTAGTTATCCGCGTATTTGATTTGAACCCTCGCTCCAGTTCACAGAGAGTTCATGTAGACACTGGAGTGACAGTCTATCTGCTGCCATCCTGCTTCAGATCACTACCTATCTTTTTAGCCTGGTGTACTCAAATAACAAATGAATATTTTAACTTTCACTTAGTCCGATTGAAATACGTAATGCGATGCATGCTTAGTACTGACGTTTAGAGATCCGTTTCATCCGGAAATGATGTGTGAATATGTATCTGAGAAGGACCCGCTAAAATTACTCTACTAGAAATGCCCGCGAACTAGCTAGACGTGTCATTGAGGACTAGTCCAACTCTTCCGATCATCGGGAGCAAATAAAACTCCCGTGATTAGGGCAATCATTGAATACTGAAAATATATAGCAATATGATACACATCTGTATTGATCCATGATAGTTAGATGGGGCACGTGTGCGGAATCACTTCGCGGACTCTCGCGCGTTTGCAGCATACTACAGTTGCACTGTGTGCTATTCGAGTTTGATGCGCTCACTAAATCTGAGATCCGCAAAGTGAATGTCTAGGAATCGTTTAAGTTCCGACACTGGTTTCGCCTCGACTGTTGTCTCCAGCAACTCATTTCAATATTTCACCACTCACATTTCAGATTTGGCACTACGAGCTTCTACCGGTGTCCGCGAGTGCTGCTTTGTACGCGAACTTGCAACAGCGGCCTGAACATATGGCAGTGGCCCAGGTGCGATATCCGGTGCGTCATTATAACGTCAAGTCTACGCCGACGATACGACAGGGTATACAGCGCTAGTCCCTTACATCGATCCTCGTACGACCTACCCCTTAAACTGGGGATGAGTCGTTTCACTCTTTGCACCTCGCCACGTATGAGCGGACATTAGGCACGTGAGCCGTAATCTAACATAGATCTTATCATGGAAGAGAAGAGGCGAATGGTACTCTTTCCAGACGAAGTACAGAAGCTACCTTTGACAGCCCAAAGTATGTGTTGTCCTCCATCCCTTGTCGCATCGATTTTCAATCGATTAGCTCGCAGTGTAGTCGGTCTACTTTGTCGCCATTGGTAGTCCGTTCGTTTCAGCTCATCTGGAATGTGGATACACAGTCACTACTACCTATTGATGCCTAGTGAATAATGTTTCTGGCTCTTGCAAACTTCACTACTTAGTCTGAGATGGCGGCAGCGGTAGTTGACCTTTTGGACACTATTTAGCTCATTTATGACTGGCAACTGCCAATTGTGTCAGGAGACGCCCTGTGAAAATCGTTTAGGTGTCTGTCTGATCCCCACTATCTCCAGACCACTGGTATGCATTATGCGGCTGCAGCTCGTTGATCTA